TTGACAAAAGTTGTTTAAAAGTAGCAGTAAGCATTAGCAGAAGAATTTTTAAAAAATTAGGGTTCTGTAACTTTGGAAGTTTTCCACGCAGCATTTTTACATTTTAAAGCAGTTTATTGAAGGTTTCTGATCTTAAACATGATTGTTTCATTTCAGAACATTTAAGCGGTATGTATCGACTGAAGGAAATCAGTAAGTTTACTCGTGACGTCGACCACCTTCGTTTGCGCCAAACGCGGCGTGTCCCCCCCACGTGTCGTCGTCGTTCCTGCTTAACTCTCACCCCGTTTACTTTTCGGCGTGACCGCTCGTTTCCCTCCCCGACACGGCAGCCGCGGACTAACAGCGTAATCTGTGTGTCAGGCGGTAAGGGGCCGCTCAGTTTCGAGCTGATAGAGTTTGCCCCAAACAAGGACAGCCTATCATCGAAAGATTAATGAACTAATTTCATGCATGGCTCCTTTGCCTCTGTCCTTCTGTGCTTCCATGTTCAACTGTGCGGTGATTTACGTTGCGTCGTTCGCTACAAACTGAACCCCCAAGCTGAACAAAAATGTTTATCCTTGCTTGGGAAAATGCAATATTTTATATAAATGTAAAATAGGAGGCCTGAGAAGTGCAGCCTTAAATAGTGCAAAGGTTTGAGTTTCAGATCGTTCAGCTGTGGGGGACTCTTTTTTTTCCACACTCGTTTTGCTCAAAAAGAAAAAAACCAGAAGCTGTCACTGATTCGAGCATGTGTTCTTGTCATGTGAACCGCTGTGGACAGCTCTGTGGTTTCCACACGGGAGTGATGTCTCATTCTCACCGCGTGACGGACAGACGGAAACCCGCGTCCACAGCGGGACCCGTCCGTCTCGAGGCAGCGGAACAGCGAAGGCAGGCGACCTTCACGTCCATCTGACGAGTCGCCACCTCCGTTTGGGCCATTTTTCTGCGCGGCGGAGCAAACACAAGCCCGTTAGGTTGCGTTTTAAGCGCCTGCCTACGCAGTGAGACGTGTTGAAGAGGTTCTCGTCTCTCTTTTCTAATATTAACAGGAAAACTAAATGATCAAACCACGCGGCTATTTCTGTCTGCACAAATTGGCGGCTCGTGCCATTATTTCATTTGGACAGATTTGAAAGGACCCATTAGAAATTTTCATTAAAAACCTAACAAAAAAAACATCTCCCCAGTGTTGCTTTGTGCTAAGTGTGGAATGAACTACTTTTTACATATGCCACGATGTACTATTCCACAGGGATTCCCCCTATCTGGCTAAGATGATGTATTAACTGTTGCCACGCTGCTTTCTGCACCTCCCTCAGACGGCAGAAATTATACCTCGCCGCTCACTCTGGGCACACGCTGATCTCCAGCAAGATTTAACACGAGTCCTGTGAATTTTTCATCAACCGCAACAGCCCCAGCAACGAAGACCCAACATAACGTTGTATCGCTCCATCTTGCACTGTGTTAACAGTCTTGGCTGATTAAAAATGCATAAGGAATGTCTGGGACCCGTAAGAGGAGGGTTTATTTTTTCATGCCTCCTCCTTAAACAGGAAGGAAGCAGGGGATCAATAGATCCGATCTGAGCTCAGGGGGTAGAGGCTATCTGCTCCTCGCTCCCTCCAGCCTCTTTCCGTTAGCACTTTAAAGTTTTATGTTGTTGGAGCCTGATGAGTTACTGGCTTTACACAATTGCAAAACAGGGAGAATATACTCTTAACTACAGTAGCACACTTTAAAAATGAGCAGCCCCTAAAAAAAACAAAACTATTTTTACTAGTTTTCACTGCTGTTTTCAACAAGTTCAATTTAAAGGGACTTAAAAGGTATTTAAGGCCTCAGTTTATGCTTTAAGACATAAACATGCATTTTAATACCAAGTGTTGTTTTGTAGGAAATTGAAGCCAGTAAGAACATAATGTGTAAAGAATAAATGTGACCCATCATGTCAAAATGAAGATTAAGTCAAATTTGGTCAAAATGACCTAATCATATTTTCAGATTCCTGCCTTTTAAAAGCTATATTTTGATACTTTGATCATCCTGATATCATTAGTAGATCCAGAGATATTATATAATTTGTCTTGTTGGTTACAATAATACATAAATATTTGGTCTGAATCCTTATTTTATGTCGTTTTAATGAGGATTTTTTATGTAATTTGAAAAAGGAAACCTCAATGCGTATTTGAATATTGAGATTTCTCATCTTAAAAGAAACAAATGCTTTGATAGCTCACATTGAAAATCTCAACATTTTAAGTTTTTCCTCCAAATCAAGTTTTTGGTTGCTAATGCTCAAAAAAGTGCTTCAAATTTTTTTTTTACGATATTTCAGACAGTTCATTGAAATGATACATTGATAAAACATTTGTTATATTTTGACAAAATGTAATTTTTGCAAGCATTTAAATCAAAACACAATATCTGCCCATTTCTCCACATACAACTTTTAGACTTAATCCTCGTTTCGATGTGATGGGTCACAAACATTGGAGCAAAACCTGGAAGTTGAAGCCAAGTTTTAAGTCCCGCCCCTTTCATGTAAACAAACAGAACGTTGCCCTTGTTACAAAATAAAAACACAGTTCTCACCTTGACACTGTTCATTCAAGTATAAACTTTTCTTCTAAGTAGGCGGGGTATAAAGTCTCATATTTGCTAGCGCACAGACTCTGGTTCCAAAAATACAACATGGCATCTTCTGTAAAACTGTTCCAGCTGGTTTTTGTTCCCAACCACAGGTGAAGGCGGGAAGACTTGATGTTTTAGTATATATGCGAGAGCAGGACCCAGTTTACAGGCACTGCCATGTTTTGGTCTTGTTATTCTACTAGCAACAACGAAGTTAAAATGCTGCCTAAACTTTCTTCTTGGCACAAAATAACCAATTACATCTAAACTTATTAGAAAAACGAATGTTTGAACATACAGCAGAATGGTAAAAACTACATTAACCAACAACTAAAACAAAATACCTGAGATGATTTTTTAAAATATGTGTTTTAAAGGGCACTGTACTATTTCTTTACATGAATGTAAACCAGCCTGTGAGGACACTGGTCCCCTTCTGACTTCCAGAATCCAGAACTGGGTCTAGCTTTATAATTTGCAGTCTTTGCTGACAGCTGTAGGTTAAGTACAGCAACTATAGCAGGTTTTGATCCGTTGCTAAAACACTAAAAAAGCGCACAAAAACACAACCAATAACTTTAATAGAAATGATTGCATGATATAAACATACAGCATACATAAAAAGTATGTTATATGATTTATTGCTGACATGCATGCACTGAAAATCTAAAAATATGTGTAAAAATGCTTGAATAAAATGTATTTATTTTAAAACTGACCATGTGATTCGACTTTTGTTCTGCTGTTTGTTAAATCATGAGCTGAAAGACTCGTATCTTTTTAATAATATCAGTCGTCTCATTTTGTTCTGTTTGCATTCACTCAATTCATTTTTAAAATAACCGTTGTACTGAAATATTTCCTCGTGAGCATGTGTGTGTGTGAATAAGTGCAACGGCCTTAAATTCTGCTACGTCAAATTACCGTAACCCGGCGCTGATGAAATAACCAGGACTATTGATTCAGCTAATTATTTTTAATCCTCGATATGCTGAGTGTAAAACCTCTCTCCATCCATTAACTGCTTTCTGAAGTTTCATTCATTCACTCATTCATTTACTTCTGGCAGCCGACCAATTGTTGGCATTGTTCAAGATGTATGGAGCATCTGTTGACAGGGTCGTTAGTTGCCATTTTGCCTGCGAGGAATAAGCCGCTGCAGTTTGTCACATGGCATTCCAACACTTTAATAGTTGTGTCTGAAGGATGATCTATCAAACTCAGATCAGCTGATGAATTTCTCAGAGCGATGGGGCGATGATGTTTAAAAGCAGCACATCTTACAAGCACACTTGATTTGATTTGATTTGATTTGATTTGATTTATTGATTCAACAGGAAAAGATAACTAAAAATCAAGCCTGACTCAGCATAATTGCTGCTTTACATCAGGTTCCTGTTCTGCAGCACAGAAAACACTCAGAATTACGGCATCACAATCACATCATTATACACCATAGACACAAAGACAAACAAGCATACCAAATTTCAAAAAGGCAGCATTTGCAAAATAGGATGTCTAAATATGAGCACAACAAAAAGTGTCCAGCAGATGGCAGACAAGATTCTTCTTAAAGGACTGTAGTTTTGAAATGGACTTTATGTTTTGAGGAATGTCATTCCATGCTTTAGTATAAACATAGAAGAAAGACCTCTGGCCGTAACAGTTTTTAAAAGTTGGTAATGTCAGTTGTCCTTTTGTAACAGATCTAGTTGAATGACCACTTCCAGAATTTGATTTGGGCAGCAATGCACAGAGAGTTCCATAATTGGCACCTTGGAAGATCTGAAAATATAAATTAATACCACTATACAAAACATAATTCTGAAAAGTCAAGGCATCAGACAATGAAAGAACTGTACAGTGATGAGTCCAACCAGGAAGTTTTTTATGAATTTTGTAGGCCCTGTTGTAGAGCCTAACTATGTGTTCTAAGATTTCATTTGTTGTAAGAGACCAAACAGGTAAACAGTACGACATGGTTGAGAGTATAATGGCATGAAGATAGATATTTGAAACAGAAAATGTCAGATTGGATCTAATTTTTGAATAAACGTATAATTTCTGTTTCAACTTATTGGTTAAGACATGTACATGATCATGATAAGTCAAATGAGAATCCAAAGTAATTCCAAGATATTTGTYGGTAGTGACAATATCAAGGGGTTTGTTTAAAAAAGTGAGTTGATTTGTTATATTGAAATGTCTCCTGGGTGAGGAAAAATACACGCACACAGTTTTTTTTTAACATTAAATGACAAAAGATTATCTTGAAGATAGATTATTCTTCTGTGTTGAAAAATATGCTTCGATTAGCATGTGAAGAAAGGATTGTCCCTGCTCTCTGAACTGAACTCTCCTCTCTGTTTCAGCCTGCTAACCAGAATGCCCTCTGATGACCGACACCTCTCCTCCAGCTGCGGTTCTTACGTCAAAACCGAGCCCTCCAGTCCTTCCTCCTCGCTCGTGGACACCGGCAGCCACCACAGCCCCAGCGGCAACTCGGACGCCAGCGGCGGCTACGTCAACGGCACAGGCGGGCGCTCGCACGCCCTAGACTCGCCGCCCATGTTCAACCCGGGCATGCTCGGGGGCGGGAGCGCCTGCTTGCGTCGCTACGAGGAGTGCGCCGGCAGCATGGTGGACGACTCGCCAATCAAGTGCGAGTACATGCTCAACGCCATTCCCAAGAGGCTCTGCCTGGTGTGTGGGGACGTGGCCTCGGGGTACCACTATGGGGTGGCATCTTGTGAGGCCTGCAAAGCCTTTTTCAAAAGGACGATACAAGGTATTATTCCTCCCATTCTCACTCCTTAGTTGGTAAACATTTGATGTAAAGGCACCAGAACAACAAAATGCTCCATTCCTACACAAGTTTCAGAATATAAAGTATAAGTACCCCGAATTTCATTTTATTTTCCCTTCTTTACATTTTTACACATTTAAGGGCTTTCCAACCCACAGATCAAAGAGAGCTTATAAGTAATTTTATGCAGTTCATTCACTGAAACGTGTTTTATTTTAGACTTAAGACGAGTGTTTTATGGTCATTGTGGCTGATAGCGACTGAATCACTACTTGCTGTAAACCTTTTACTGTTTCCATGAGTCGCAGGGTAATTTAAGCTGGACTAAATTTCGATGACTTAGTTTTCTTTAAAAACAAAAAAAAGGGCGACTTATTAAAGGATGTCCTTTTTAATGCCTCTCATAACTAAATGCTTAGTAATAAAAATACTATGATGTGAGTGAAGTATATTAGAATAAAGCTAGATTTAAAATAAGACATTTTACCAGTGGCACAAAATTGCTCATAACTGTTAAAATCAGGGTTTTTCAACTGGTGGCTCACGTGCCACATCTGGTCCGTGGGTGACATCAGTCTGGCCAATGACTAATTTTAAAAAATATCTATTTTTTATGCATTTAATAAAAAATTGATTTTAATTCAGTTAACATTTTTAATTTAAATAGAGCAAAATAAACAAATTAAAAAGGTAATAGATGTTAACACTTGTGCTTTTCCATAATGCTGTGTTTCCTCATTATCAGGCCGACCCCCGATGTCCAGCCCCTAAGCTGTTTGCTTTGAGTAAACGTGGCTCCCAGTGCAATTCAATAAATAACTCTAGTTTATATCGAATGTTGAGGCACTTTTATTTAAATGTAGTTTATTGTGATTGCCAAAATGAAATAAAACGGGAAGCCAAGGAGCCCTAACCAAGATTTAAGAGTGACCAGATTTTTATATATTTATTTATTTTTATTTTTTGGCAGATATTTTGTCCATTTTTAAGACAAAACTCCATTTTATATAAATTCCCAATGTGTTTATGATTAGCCTATACAGGAGCAGTATTTGCAGCATTTCCTAAACACAACTTGAAAATGTAAAAAAAAATAAAAAAGTAGCAAAACCATAAGACTCAGGACAAATGAGATGCATTTTCAAATGTCTGTTTTTCTTTACCGAATATCAGTCATTGAGCTTATTATATCTGCATAATTATGAGCTGAAGTAAAGTATTTTAAAAGTGTATTTTTCTTTAACAAATTGTGGCAATAACCTGTAAAACTCAAAGTTCTACATCCTAACTCTCTTGTGTTAAAAACAGATGTCCCATTTAAACCATTTGAAGACATAAATAAAATATTTTTCAGAGTAATTATTCTGTCCGTGTGTTGCAATAATAATAATAAATATTAATTCAGTTAAAAGTGGGCCAGGTCTCGCACAACGAGGACTGTAAATAAAACAAATTTGTGCCGTTTTTGCCCATGTGTGTTTTTCTTCCTCTTCCTTGTGCTCCTCTTTGAGAAGGACAGGCTTGTAATGAGCTTAATGTGTCCGTCATTCGTCCTGAGCCACGGGACTTTCAGTCAATAACAATCAGTGTTGGGTGACTGTAATTAAGAGCCAGGCGTTTTATTGGAAGAAAAGTCAAGAGACGAGAAAAACGGCCTGGATCTGTTCTTTGTTTCTGAGCCCTCTGTAGCCCCAAAAGCAAAGGATAGGAGATCAGGGGGGGCACAATTAGAAGCTCGATCACGTGCCGGCGGGGGCAATAACAGACGAAGGGGACACAGAGGGGATAAAATAAAGGACGGTTTTGAGGAGTCCTCTAAATAAATGCAGAGGGACAAGGGACAGGGTGGCTCATTCGCAGAAAGGAGAAGCTGCTTTAATGGAATGGTAATCAGAAAAGGGGGGGGGGGGAACGGGGGGTGTCCCGGCCTCGGTAAAGGAGAAGAACAAGGAGAGGTCCGAGATGAGCGCGTGGATAATAGCATGGCATAATAATATATCAAAATTTAGAGGGAAAATAAGAGAGGTTAAGGAAGGATATTAGAGTGGTTGAAATGTCCTTTGAGGGATAAGGTGGACACGAGACCTGATTAACTAAGAGGGGACGCCGACGGTGGGCTTTTAGAGGGAAGCCATTTAAGTCTATAGAAGCCTCACAGTCCCACAGCCAACCCAAAACCACACACACCAAACTCTCAAACACACACAGGTTGTTTTGATCAAGGTAAACAATCAGCAAAGATGTGCAAACCATCAATGCAGTCATTTCTATGCGGAGACTGTTGATTGTTTACATGGACAAGTTTTAATAAATTTTATTTTAATATGAATGGCATACTTTGGTTACTTGTGGTTAGTCATGAAGTAATTCTCAGCATTATATGTTGCAGCTACAGGTAATGAATGGAGGTGTTTTTGTTAAAATAAATAAATAAATAAAAAACCTGTGCCTTTGCTGCAGAAGAGTCAGAGTTCACTGTAAAAAATATTTACTGACACACTCATAGGGCGTTCACTGTCATCTCGTAAATACTAGTACTATGAAAAATGAACTGTTTAGACCAGGGGTCTGCAATCTTTATGATCAAAAGAGCCATTTGTGCACCTTGTCCCACTAATAAAATGTGTCCGGAGCTGCAAAACAAGCTACAACTGTGATTATCAACTAGTGGTCCGTGGACCTTCTCAAGGCCTTTTCAGAAACCTTTACGGTCAGTGGAGGTGACATTATAAAACTAAAAAAATGTTGTTTTTATTATCATATTATTTATAACTATACACATCAGGACAAATAAAAAGACCGTATTCATGTAAGCAAAAAAAATGCTGTACATAGTTTACACGGAATTTATTAAAAACTAGTACAACTGAATTATTCAGGCATATTTTGTTTCTAATTTTTATCATTATGTAGTCTTCAAATTATTTAAAGGTAATTCTGATGGATTTGAGAGACAGATCATAGAAAGAAATTAGTATTTTTAAGTAAGCAACAGGCTAGCATGAGCTAACATGTTTTACTTTTTGTATTATGGATCACATATTTGCATACAAATTGATTTCTGTTGTGGGTATAAAAAACAAAACAAAGAAATCTGTTATGTTTGGTCACATTTTCAAAGAGCCACTGCAGAGGGACCAAAGAGCCACATGTGGCCTCAGAGCTGCAGGTTGCAGACCCCTGGTTTAGACTGAACCATGGAGGTATACTCTTTGGATTAAGCGTACACAAAATATTAATGAATGTGGGGTACCTTTGATCAGTTAAAAAAAGAACACGTTCTTATATAATCTGACTATGACGTGTTTGTATCGCTCTCAAAGAGACAGAGCTGCTCAAAATTATCTCCAGATTATTTTTAACCCCATGTCACCGGATGGGCTTTGTATACAGAAAAAAAAGAACCCATAGAAGGTGGGCAAAACAAAACAGCAGGTGGTAAAATAGCTTATACAAAAGAAAAAAAGTGTTTATTACTAAAGTTTATTCTACAAGTTTGACAAAATAAACCAAATTTTCTCCAAGTGGAGAACTTTTCTTCTCAGCCTTCCAGAAGTATCACCTTTCTGGCTACTAACGTCACCAGTGTCAAAACCTGCCCTTCTTTATTTCTTGCCCCTCACCCCAAATATAATGCTGGGGGGGGGGGGGGGGGGGGGGGGGTTTACATGGGACCCCCTTTGCCAGTTGCTTTAATTAAAAAAATCCAACAAATCATTAAATTAAAAGAACAGATGAGATTAAATTCCTTGGTCCCTGGAACACTAGGCTACGTTCACACTGCAGGCAAATCCGACCCAAATCCGATTTTTTTGACCCATCTGACTCATATCCGATTTTTTTATGACAGTCTGAACGAGACAAATCCGATTTTTTCAAATCCGACCCATGCCGTTTCAGTATGTGGTTTTAAATCGGATACATATCTGATGTTTTCAAAGTGACTGCAGTGTGAACGCTCATGTCACATTCATCTGACTTTTTCATCAGGAGGAGGGGGTGAAGGACCGATAAGACACTAACCTCAAGTCTCGCTGTTTAAATCTGTAGCTCCGTGTGTTTACAGCTCCAAAACATAAGTCCAGTTGCTTCATCTTTTTACTTTTCATTTTCCACGTAGATAGTATGATAATAACGACGTCCAGCCTGGGTCGCAGAGAGTATCGATCCTAAAGTTAGCTACTCGGTCGATACTTTTTTCCAGCTCGTAGTTTCGTTCATAAAAAAAAAGCTTCACTGGAGCATCCCAGTCAGAGGCAGGTTCAGATATAAACACTGAACTAAAGAAGCATGTCAGATAATTATTTAATCGGCTCTGATTAAACAACAACTTCCGATTCGATGTGTAATATGTAGCATCCATGCTAGCTCTGTAAATAAACAAGCCGGCTGATGAGACGTCACGTTTTTTACTGCGCATGCGTGTCACATCAGTGCTGTGTAGCGTTCACACAGGGGTCTGATGCAGGTCACATTTAAAATGTAATGTGAACGTTCACACAAAAAGATCGGATTTTTTCAAAAAATCGGAACTGAGCATTAAGACTTGCAGTGTGAACGTAGCCTTAGAGAGCTGAAACATCCTTGTATGTTTTTTGTTGTTGTTGTTTGTTTTTTCCCCCAACGTAGTGTGGGAAAAGTGCTGCCTGTTCTTTGAACTGGAACACACAGGAGTTCTGCAGTGAACTGGAATTTCTCCGCTCATTTTAACTGAACTCCACTAAATCCTGCCGCAGACTCTGCCAACGTGCTGGCATGGTTCCCCCGGACCCCTGACTGTGCCTGTGACCCTGCTGGCACCGTTGATGCCAACAATCCTGACAAATGTTGGCACGTTCTCCTTGACCATCGGGGGGGTTGGGGGGTGTTTGTAGGTGTTATGGGAGTGTGTTGAGGGATGGGGGTAAATGCAGCGCTGGCAGATCTACAACAGACAACACCTGGTTTGCTGTTTTTAGGTAACAATAAAGCATCTCTGGGCTTAAAGGACCTTTGTTTAAACAATCATGGGATATGGAGGCTTTGGACGCAGAACTGTGTTGGATTTATGGGGCGGTGTCAGATTTTGACTGCAAAATGATTCAGAACCTTAAAAAAATGGAAAAAGAAGAAGCTGACCGGAATCTTGTGAGAACTAGTGGCATCGGTTAAATGGCAGCAGATTCAATATGTCTGTGTTTCTGGCTGTTTTTGGATCTGAGTGATTAAATTGCATAGGAAATATTTCCATTCTGAGCCAAAAAACCATCAAGGCACGACTTGAATAATACATCGAGCTTTGCTACATGATACGGGAGCCTTGGATTGTCCGGTCTAACAGCAGCTCCTGGTCTTTGCTGGAGAACACGAGCCGGACTCCTTAGCTGTGTTTGAACAGAAAGTCTGCATTTGAAGCTTATTTATCTGTGAATCTAAATAGTGTTGGGACTTTGTGTTTGATTCACACGTCTCATCAAAACACCACTCAACTGCCCTGCTTTGGAATACCACACTCAGGTGTGCGGCCACGTGTCATCGCTCAGTGTGTTGTGAATTTCTCTCTTCACCATTTATTATGTGATCTGCACTGCCTTTTTAAAATTTCTCCTTTCTGATTCATATCTTCCCGGGTAAACAGAAAAATGAATGTGTGTTTCTGGGTCCTCCACAGGGAACATTGAGTACAGCTGTCCGGCCACCAACGAATGTGAGATCACCAAGAGGAGACGAAAGTCCTGCCAGGCGTGTCGCTTTATGAAATGTCTTAAAGTTGGCATGTTGAAGGAAGGTGAGCACTGAACATTTTTTCATTTTCTTATTTGTGTTTATTTATTTATTTATTTATTTAATTTTTTCACTGGTTTTATTTGTGTGAATTAAAACTTGAACAGTCGGTTTGTTAATTTGGTCAACAGAACACTGAAACAAATATTACGAGAAAGTATCAGAAATAGTTTTTTTTATTTATTTTTTATTTGTTTATTTATTTATTTATTGCCTTTGAGATGCAAAAACTTGGTTTCCTTTCGTCTTCAAACATTTTATTATGATCTGGTAACAGTGAACTCTGAATGGGCCAGTATGACATTCTGGTGGTCTTATAAACCTTATTTTTAAATGCAACACACAATTTTTTTTCTTTTCTTTTATTTTTTATTCAATTACTATTACTTGTGATGCCTAAAGTGCTTAAAGATTATTTTAAAGATGTACTATTATATAATACTACATAAGTTATATACTGTTAATGTTAATGATATAAATAAGGAAATAGAAAACAATGAAACATGTCGATACCGTGATTACAGATTTCAAACACTTAGGGTCAAGAATGAAATTTTAATTTAATCACAAGTATTGCGAATGAAAATAAAATCAAAATTGAATGTGATATAGTGTAAAATAAAGCACCTCCTTAGCGAGCAGACCGCTATATATTTCACCTGCTAACACGCTAACTCTTGTAGCATGTTGCAAATCTTTGGTTCCTAACAATTTTACCATTTTATTAGAGAGGACTGGGCTATCTGCTGGGTTAAATGTGTATCCAGGGGATTCCATTATAGGTTTGGAGCAACAGGTTGGAGAGGGGGAACCCTTCATGTGACTTTTCACAACAGCCATTTTATTTACAAGTTCATTCATTTTCAAAATAATCAATTATATGTTATTGATAGAACACAAAAGACGCATTTTCATAATTTCATGTTGCACTTTTCTTGTAAATCCTGAATATCCTGAAAGAGTCAGTCATTTAAGTTAATAATAATTTAAGTAGAACAACCTAGAAATTGTAAAGCTTTAAAATAATGTGTTATTGTGGTTAATATGATGTTCCCAATGCACCACAAAACGATTATTAAAATGCTGTTTTTGCTATAAATGTTAGAAGAAACAAAACATCCAGGTTAACATGGAAATATTTGTTGAGGCTGTCCACTTATATGAGTTGGTTTTTAACCATAAAGCATCTTAAGTTTGACTTTTGTCTTCTGGAACAAAATGATTGATTTTTTAATGTATTAAATAATAAATTTCAAAGCGTTAATAGTTTGAAAGACTTTATTAATCAGTTCAGGTCTGATCTCTGCGCAGCGTTAGCTTGGAAGTCATCCTTTACATCCAGAGTGTTTCTGTTCCGATCAGACGCTCCAGCTCGCCGTCGCCTCGGGGACCCTGCGGCGACACGACCCGCTCATTCCTTCACTCACCTCTCCTCACGCCGCCGAGCCTCTGTGTGCTTGACTCCGACGAGTGGGGGAGAGCTGCTGAGTTGGATGTTCTTACCGAGCCTGAGCGAGATGTGTAACAGTACTCTTGAAAAGCGCACGGGCCGCTCCCCGGAGACTCTCTCCCTCTCTCCCCTGGGCTCTGGGTGTCTTTTCTTCCTCTCCGCTCCGTCTGAGTCTGCCATCCTTCCTCTCTCCTGCCTGCCGTATTGATCCACTAAATGCTTTCCGAACATGCCGCCTCACTTCCTGCACGTGTTGTTTTTCCTCCGGTGTGGGACCTCTGGGAGTACAGAGGGGAAAATCTAGCTGATGGATTTTGTTTTCTTCTTCTTTTCATAGAAAGAGTTTTATGTTAGCTTTTCAAGTTTAACTATGCTACACAGGTATTTATGCCTGATAATTAAGTGTGAATTATTATTATTATTACATCCCATTAAATTACTACAGTAATAATGGAATTTATTAGACATTATAACAGGCGAAGATGATCATTTTAAAATTACATGAATGAACACATACACACTAAGAGTGACTATGAAAAGCATCTGCATTTAATTATGCTTTTAAAATGTAGAACGGTGGTTCCCAAAGTTATGGTTGCTAACAACCATTTTTGTCTTAGTTGTTACTAAAGAATGAGGTTAGTGTACTTAAAATGAATAAAAGTTGCATAATAAATATATTGTGACTATGCCCTTTATTTTAATTGATACAAATGTTAATCAACCAAAAATAATTGTGAGCACAGGTGTCTGCTGCTGTTATTTTGTGGTTCAAAAGCTAAAAAGTGTGGGAACCACTGATCCAGAGTGGTTAAATAATTTTCCATGTTTCCTAAAATTAAACATTGCTTTTAAACATCTATTTCTTAGGGGTGCAACAATACATGTACCCGTATCAAACCGTTCAATACAGAGCTTTAGGTTCAATACACAATACAATAGTTTAAATTTATTTTATCAACTTGTCTTCTGAAGATGCTCTGTGTTGAAGGATCGGTGGATCTGTGTTCGACTGCTCCACCTAGGCTACATTTTTGAGCGCGGATTCACTGAGAAACTTGCCGTTTTAGCAACATTTAATTTAAAAACTGTACTTTTGAGGTAAACAAATGTTCGTATTTAATTTAAATAAATTACAAGTTAAAAAGAGAATGGAAATTTTTCTTTTTTGTATCAAACAAATATCGAACCGTGAGACTAAAGTAAGGAACCGAATAGTGAATTTTCTGTATCGTCGCACCCCTACTATTTATAGGCTTCACTGACAGTTAGATGCTCCTTAAAATAAAACCGTGCTCTCAGAGTTTTGGTATTCGATACTTAAGACGCTACAATCTGCTCTGGTGACACCGGCTGCATGTCCATGGATACGACTTTACTGACTGTTGGCTCATCTCAATTGTGAATCACTCCCATCTCAGTGTTGTCATCCTAATCCAAACATTTCAAACAATTTAACTTTAACTGTCTGAGCAAAAGGGTTGTCGAACCACCGAGACAAAGTAAGCCCCAGGTGAATTTGTGCCTGTTGTTTCTTAGTACAAATGGTAAAGGGTCTGTATTTGTATAGCCCTTTATCAAGTCCAAGGACTCCAAAGTGCTTCAGCTGTTCACCCATTCACACACACACCGATGATGGGAAGCTACATTGTAGCCACAGCTGCCCTGAGGACTGACAGAGGTGAGGCTACCATACACCAGCACCACCAAACCCTCTGACCACCACCAACAGGCAAGATGGATTAAGTGTCTTGACCAAGGACACAATGACTGAGACAGACGGAGCTGGGTTTAAACCAGTAACCCACCAGTTACAGAACAACTCCCCAAACCACTCTGTCACAGCTGGCCCATTAAGACATTCAGATTTGTGAAGTAACTAAGTACAAATACTTTCTTACTGTACTTAAGTAGAGTTTTTGGGTATCTGTACTTTACTTGAGTAATTATTTTTCAGCTTACTTTTTACTTGTACTTTACATTTTCACACAATTACTTGTACTTTCTACTCCTTACATTTATAAAAAAGGCAAGAAGTAGAAAGTCGTTATTTTTATTTCATTTTTGCTTGTTTTCATTCCAGCTTGTTATTGTAAAAAATAAATACTAACTAAATATTGTGCCTCCTACATAGTGAATTTAATTGTGGTTGAATGAAAAGTATAAATATATAAAATTCTGATACCACATTAGTTTGTACACAAACAAATTATGTCACACTCCAGCAGGACATAATCATTAAAATAAAGGACTGTACTTAAGAAGTATTTGTATTTAATGAATTATATTATTGCATTTGGCCGCAGCCCTCAGATAGATTTTCGTTTTGGAGAAAAAGTTTGTGCAGATATACAGTATGTATATAAACTGAAATAGCTGGACAAGTGCATCATAAATTTAACTTCAATTAATTATTTTAATAAGACATAGATTTTCTGTAATAACATTTATTAGGAGGTGACCGCCCCAAAAAATGCATAGATGACTAACTGCTCAATTTAAATCAATGCTTTTACTTTTAATAACTTTTTTACCAAAGTAATTTTTTGGTACTTTTACTCAATTATCACTTTGTGGTACTTTATACAACACTGAAGACATTTATCAAAATGTTAAGCTTCTAAATTAATTTATTAGTTGCCTAAAAACTGAAGCCGGCTAAGTTGTGTTTTCCTTGTTTTTCATACGAGCAGCAACAGATTAAATACACCTGCACTGTGACGAGTCTGTGGATTTTATCCTCCATGATTGACACATTACACACAGGGCTTCCTCCAGATACGTTTTGTTAGGTCAAGGCACCAAAACCAAAAACCAGAACAGATTTTAAGATTTGTGAAGTTGTTACAAATACATCAATACGATAGTTGGAGAAACACCTTCTAATCTAAAACACAATCTACTTCGGTAATTTTTTTTTATTATTATTAACAGTTGCTTAACTCTTATTGAGTCAAGCCCTGAGGAGATACTTTAGCTAACATTATTCCACACGTTACACGATAAGCAACATTTTCAAACCTTCAAATGGTCTGGTGTAATTCTCACCTAAACCATGATAATATTTTACAGTGACAGCCTTGTGAATCTGACTGCCCGACAGAAGTTACAGTGCTGCAGTAACCCAACCTAAAGATGCAGACGAGGCTCGATGTGATCAGTTGTTCTAAAAGTATCAAATATTTCTGCCCCTTGTGCCAAGCCTGCCATCCTGAATCATAAAGCGCCAGCTGTCACAGCTTTTCAGCACTATTAGCAGACTGGGGGGAAAAAAAGAATACTCTTCATTTTAACACCTGCCACAAACCAGCTGACATTCTTTAGCCCCTGTTTGCTTGTTTCAGGTGTGTTTAGTGTCGATCAATGTCAGCTCATCAGCTGAATTGTTTTGATTAGTGTTTGGTACATCCGTGCAAAATACTGCATGGAGAGTTCCTTTATCACCTGTAAAAAATAAAAATTGCAGATGGTTTGAGAT